ACCGGGAAAAAGTAATTTTTTTTTTCGTTATCGTTTTTAAAAAGCGAAATAAAAAAGGTTGTTGTAATAAAAACGGGTAGCGGTAAACAAACCGTTAACAATTTATTATCGTTTTTGGAAAATAAATTTTTGGGGTTTAAAAATAATAATGCTTAAGCGTAGCGTTTGGTCGTTTTTTTTTAATTTGGTTTTAGGGTTTAGCTAACGCGGCGTTTGGGTATTTCCGGGCGCATGTTTTATTTTTTGCGCGCTTTAGCGCGTAGCAATGGTTTAGCGCTATAGCGCCGTTTTTTCGCGTTAATTTTGGCTTACCGTTTGCGTGTTGCCGGCGTGCGGCACGTTATTTTTAAACCAAAATTTCGATAAAAAATTATGTTGGTAGCAATTAAGCTTTTTTCGGGCGGTTTTTGCGTTTTGGTATTTGTTGCTTTTAATGTTAGCGGAACGCCGGGCCCGCTATTTTTTGTACAAATTGTACCGCTTTTGGTTCGTATTACCAATTTGGTGGTTCGGGTTTATTTAGGTGCAAACGGTAGAAATTCCGGATGCAATTATTTATTTTTTTAAAGTTGCGGCAAAATTTCCAAATCGGGGCGTAAAGTACGGGCTATTTAATTTTGTACTAAAAGCTTTTCCGCGTTTTTTTAAAATCGAAAATTTTGTTAAAAAACCATTTTTTGTTGTTATTGTTAATATTTTTCCTTTTCGTTAAAAAAACGCTAATGGTTTGTTAGTTATATTTTTTGTTAATGGCGTTTTATTCCGGCAATTCCGGATAGTTCCGTTAAATTAACAAAGTATGGAAAACGGGAAATAAACGGTATTAAAGCGGAAGTTTAACGGTTAAAATTTGTTTGTAAATTTTGGTAATAAAAAACGGGTTAATCCATTTGTTATTTAGCTTAAAGGTTGGTTTTAAAAATGTTATATTTTTTGTATTTACCTAAATTTGATTTTTTGTAACGAACGTGCTTAAATTGGTTTGGTAGCGGTTAACCGCTTTTTCGTACCGTTTTTAAGTTGCGGTTGCTATTGCTTTAACATAATCGAAAATTATTTGGATTTTATCGGTTATCGTAAACGCATTATAAATTTTTTATTGCTTTGCTAGCGTATTGTCGGTATTTGGGGGGGGGGAGCTGGTTTGGATTCCATAAAAGGGTTTTACCCGTAATTAGCGAAAAACGGTAAAATTTTCGTCGTTTTCGATATTTAATTATTATTAGCAAATTTTCCCAATAAAAACTAATTAACCCAATCGTTTTAATAATAAAAGCAAAAGCTGCGAAAATATTGTTTTATGTACGCGTTTAAAACTTCCGTTTGCCCGTTGGACTTTGGGTAAAACGCTAACGATTTTTTTAAAGTAACGCTTAAGCGTTATTGCAATTCCCGCCAAAAGTTAAATACAAATTAAAGCTTTTTATTGGATACAATGGTTTCGGGGGTGCCGTATTAGCGGTACATTACCAATAAATAAGCGTTTGTTAAATTACCCGCGTTAATGGTATTTATTGGAATGTAATGCCTTACTTTTGTTAATTTATCCATTATTATTAAAATGTTGGTATAAATAATACCCCGGCGTTTATACGGCAGCAACGGGCCAATAAAATTTATTAACAAATTTGCTTATGGTTTAAACGGGATTGGCAATGGTTAAAATAGCCCGTTAAAAAAATATTTTTTTTTTTTAACCATTTTGCAAAAATAGCAGCCCCGGATAAAAACGCTAACGTTCCGGAAAAATTTTAGCCAAAAATATAATTTTCGTAACAAATTGTATGTTTTGCTTTTTTTTACGTAACCGTTAAATGGTAAGCTATGCATTTTATGCAATATTTGCAATCGAAAAGCATTATTTAAAGGGATAAATAGCTTTTTTTTAACGTAAATGCGCTTTCGAATTGCTTGGCAATCGGTTTTAACAACCCTAAACGTTTTGCGCAAAAACGTTAAAAAATAGCAAATATTCGGGTTAGCAAAGCATTGTAATAAATTTTAACAAAGCTTAAACGCGAAATAGCTTTTATTAATAAGCGCGTTAATGGGTTCGAAAATATCCAATTGGTACAAAAAAAAACATTAAAATTGCGCCGGCGTTCCGTTTGCCCATTGTTTTAAAAAAAAAAAGATTTTGTGCTTATTAATAACGCGTTCGTTTGCAGCAATATCGTAAAGCGTTAGTTTAACGCCGGGGGGTTGGAAAAAAGCGTTTGGCACAATGGCTATTTTTTTTGGTTTGTATACGATTTGGAATTTAAAATTGCTAAAAAATTCGAACCAACGTATTTGCCGTTGGTTAAATAATTTGGTAATAGCGAAAAACTATAAATTTTTGTAATTTGTCCAAATTTTTATTGGCGTTTCGGTTTTTTAAAGCTTCGGTTTCCATTTTTTAAAAGCGCGTACGATTGCAAACAATTCTTTATCGTAAATTTCGTAATTGCATTTAGCTAGTAAGTATTTGGCTAAAAAAAAGCAACGGGCCGGCGTATTTTAAACGCATTTATTTGGGATAGCACCCCGCCCGTAACTTAATCGAAAGCGTTTACTTCCACGATTGTTTTAAGGGCTGGGTCGTAATATGCAAGCACAATATTTAAAAAAAAAGCGGTTTTAAATTGGTAAAAAGTTACCGTTGCTTCGGCAAACCATTAACGCACCCATAATTATTCGTTTATTAATAAATAAAAGGGTTTGGCGATAGCGAAAAAACCGTTAATAAACCGGCAATAAAAGTTGGCAAAGCTTATAAAACGGCGAAATTCTTTTAAAGTTATAAGCTATTTCCATTAACGGATTGCTTTAACCTTTTTTTCGTCCATGCGAATTCCCGTAATTAAAATAATTAGGCCAAAATATTTAATTTTTTGTATTAAAAATTTGCATTTCCAAATATCGATAATAAAGCCCGCGTCGGCAAATTTTTAAATTATTACGCGAACGTAACGCCGGTATTTCGTTCGCGTTTTGCTATAAATAAAAACGTCGTTAAAATATGCTATAGCGTAACGGTTTAATGCATTTAACAAAATGCGG